AATTATAACTCGAACTAAATTATAAATTATACGAAATTAGAATTTAGCGAAGCACGTACGAACCTGAGAGTATTTACAATCGAGCAACGTAAGAACCTTCCAGGAATAGAATTTTCCACAACATAAGAACCTTCTCCTTTTCTTTCTGTTTCTCGAGACAAATTTCACACACAAAGTATTTGTCTTCTCACGTATTCAGTAAAGTTTCGAGCTTGATGAAGCGAACACGTTCCGCGTGGCGAAATAATTCTACGTCAGAAATATCTTCGCAATTCGTTGCCTCTCCTCTGCTTAACTTTTTAATTGTTAAACATTGTGAATGTGCGTGTGTGTTTGTGCGTGTTTGAAATATAAAAAGTTTCGCTTTAAAAGCACTGCTTCAAGAAGTTAAGTGTTCGCGTTCTACGAAAACAAAATACTGTGTTATCGTTCCGCTTTCTTCTCTCTTCTTCCTTTACTTTCTTTTAGCACGCCCCGCGTGGAAAATTCGTCTCGTGATATCGCGATACCGCGTAATCCAATGTTAATTGGATCGCATTACGTGTGTCGCGTTACGCTCGTTTAATTAGAGAGAGAGAGAGAGAGAAAGTGTGTGTGTGTGTGATAAAAATTAGAGGCAAGGTGGACGCAGAACGCAGCATAAGTAAGGTGAAATTATATTTTTATCTCATTCGCCAATAATCGCTGTTTCGCCGTACAAAATAGACAAACAGCGAGCTTTAATTAACAGTAATTAATAAAGAAATCCAGAAATAAAGAGATTGTAAACAAAATTTTTATAATTAGTGGAGTACAATAGAAAAAGTCCCCGATTGATTCGCGTTTCGTTTAAAAATGTGCGCGTACAGAGAATTCGTAATTTTATAAAATGGAATTACATTAAATAAATGTAGCTTATAAAACAGGGAATATAAAACAGATTTCTAGTACAAAAGATACTAATTCTCGTACATATATCGCTCATCGAAATAGCTGATTGCGGACTCTCGTGCAAATTCATACTTTCACGGATACGAACAAAAGGATCGTTTTGTGTGTGCCAAATGTTATACTTCGCTAATTACATATTACAAAGTATATTACTAACAATATATTAATATTATATAGCATAGAAAATCAATAGAAGATTGCTTCGTCTATCGAGTATATTACAAAACATGACAACATCGATACAATTAAATCGATATAACTAAATATTAAATTTTACTATACTTCACGAGCAGAGTCTACTCTGTACTCTATGCTCTACACAATTTCCCCCGTACGAATGCGTAAAAACGGCATGGTCTGTCGTTTCTACTCGTTAGCACTCGTCTTTTAATGAAACACGCTCAGTACCGCCCCTCGCTAAACTCCTCGCGTCGCAAATGTAATTATACATAACCAATACAAATTCCCACTGTTGGCCTGAAAAAGTTTTATTAACCGGCCGCGAAGTTGTATTATCGCGCGGCAGTTTTCACGCGGGAAGGCAAGGAAGAAAAACGAAGGTAGACGAAGGCAGGAGAGAAGGGAACAAATAAATTCGCGTACGCGTCAGCCTGTCAAGCTTCACGGCGCGCGCGCGCGCGCGGATTATTGGGAATCGTTGTTAACAATTTACATGCAAATCAAAGATAAATGTTCGCGCGGAATAATTGAAATAGTCGCATTATTGATATACGGGTGATATCGCGAATAATAATGATTGCCCCGGCACGACGGAAATAAAATGCGATATTTTTCGGAACGGGGTGATGGCGGCCAAACACGCGAGGCGAATAAATTTTCTGCTCGATCCTGCAAAATTTGTCGGTTAATCGCGACCTGGGTGCGAGGGGGGAGGGGGGGG